TTATTTTCAGGGGCACCTGCATGGCTCAGTCACTTAAATGATCTCATGTTTCAGGGATTCAAGCCCCACGTTGGGCTCTGTGCTGACAGTTCAGAGCCTGGATCCTGCCTCAGGTTCTGTCTACCTCTCTCTCTGTCCTTCCCCTACTCAGGCTCTATCTCTCTCTAAAAAATAAACATTAAAAAAATTTTAAGGGGCGCCTGGGTGGCGCAGTCGGTTAAGCGTCCAACTTCAGCCAGGTCACGATCTCGCAGTCCGGGAGTTTGAGCCCCGCGTCGGGCTCTGGGCTGATGGCTCAGAGCCTAGAGCCTGTTTCCGATTCTGTGTCTCCCTCTCTCTCTGCCCCTCCCCCGTTCATGCTCTGTCTCTCTCTGTCTCTCTCTGTCCCAAAAATAAATAAACGTTGAAAAAAAAATTTAAAAAAAAAAAATTTTTTTTTTAAAAAGAAAGGTTATTTTCAGGGTTTGGGAATGCTCAAAAATTTTTCAATGTAAATTAATGGTAATTACTTCACTTTATGCCATTTTGGCTTATGAAAGGTTTTGTAGGAACCCTCTACTTCATACTTTTCTATATGGCAGGGGAAACTTGTACCTTGCTAATGATTTTTAAATGTGTTTTTCTTACCAGGAAAGGAATTATATCTTATTTTTAAACATTTTATATATAATCTTTCCTGGCAGTCTGATACACTTCAGGCCTCCAAATGATTGCTTGTTGCCGTCTAGTTGCTGCTCACCCAGACCAGTCTATCTACTAAAGGTGATGAGTTATCCTCTTTATACCTACAATTCTTGTATACCATTTCCCTTTCTCTAAATTATCTGTATTTTCTTGGTGCTATTTTAAGAATAATTCTCTCTTCATACATTGGTCTTAAAGCCTTGTTGGGTTTTTGTGGTTAAAAAGTTTTTAATAGTTCCCTTTCCCATATCAGTTGTATAGTTGAACTCCTTTATTTTTAAATGAATTTTCCTAAAATGCTATTTTGTTTCCACATAGTAAAAATTAAAAGTTCAAATCATAAACTTCAAACACAAACTCAAGCTGTATAAGGACCCTTTACTCTTCAACAGCCTTTATGCATTAACTACAGTACACCAGCGTTTACTTTTTAAGAGTTGGTGTTTAGGAGTAGAGATACATATAAGTAAGGTAGTTCCCTGTTAAAGGGGTGGGATAGTTTAAGAAGGAATATTAGGGGGGTTTTTTGTAGTATGAATTGTCTGTTTAAACCTTTTGTCCATTTTTAAAAACTGGGTGGTTTTCTTAATTGTTGAATTTTTAGAGTTCTTTATACATTCTGAATACACATCCACTGTCAGATGTGTGATTTGTAAATATTTTCCCCTTAAGAGTTTGTCTTTGTTTATTCATTCTCTTGGTGTTTTTAGGAGAGCAGCTTTTAATTTTGGTGAAATTGAGTTTGTCAGTTTTCATTTATACATTATTTGGTATGGTATCTAAGTAAGAATTTTTTTTTAAACCATTCTCAGAGTTCTTCTGTTTTCTTCTTAGAAAATTTTAGTTGAGGTACATTTTGGTATATGGTCACCTTGACTTACGCATTTGGTACAAGGTATGACTTGTTTTCTGGTGTTTTTGCATATAGATGTCCAGTTATTCCAGCACCATGTGTGGAAAAGCGCTGTCCTTCTCCACTGACTTCCCTTTTCCCTTTTGTCAATTGACCATATTTGTCAGTCTCTTTTAAGACTCCATTCTATTCCATTAATAATGTTTATTACATGAACTTTGTATTATAGTAAGTCTTCAGATCAGGTGGTGTTGGCCTTGTCTTCTTATTCAAAATTGCTTTGGCTATTCTAATTCCTTTTCCTATATAAATTTTACAAACCACTTGATTTCCTGCCATCCCCCAAAAAAGGCCTTTGGCAAATTTGATTGGGTTTTACATTGAATCTATAAATCAGGTTAGGGAGAATTGACAGTACTGAGCCTTCTGATCAGTTTATGCAGTTCATTGTCAATGTCACCATTTTATAATTTTCAACATAAAATCTTATACAAATTAAAGTTTATACCTAAGTAAGTATTCCTGGTTTTGATGCCATTGTAAATGGTACATAATCCTTATTTTATAGATGAGGAAATTAAGTAAGTTGCCCGAGGTGACACAGTTATTAAGTGACAAAAGCCAGTTTGAAACCTACATTGGCTTATCAGCTGCTGTCCTGTTTTTTTTTTTTTTATTTATATATGAAATTTATTGTCAAATTGGTTTCCATACAACACCCAGTGCTCATCCCAAAAGGTGCCCTCCTCAATACCCATCACCCACCCTCTCCTCCCTCCCACCCCCCATCAACCCTCAGTTTGCTCTCAGTTCTCAACAGTCTCTTATGCTTTGGCTCTCTCCCACTCTAACCTCTTTTTTTTTTTTTTTTTCCTTCCCCTCCCCCATGGGTTCCTGTTAAGTTTCTCAGGATCCACATAAGAGTGAAACCATATGGTATCTGTCTTTCTCTGTATGGCATATTTCACTTAGCATCACACTCTCCACTTCCATCCACGTTGCTACAAAAGGCCATATTTCATTTTTTCTCATTGCCACGTAGTATTCCATAGTGTATATAAACCACAATTTCTTTATCCATTCATCAGTTGATGGACATTTAGGCTCTTTCCATAATTTGGCTATTGTTGAGAGTGCTGCTTGTCCTGGTTTTAATTACAATGTTAATTTTTTACTCTGAAGCTCTTGTGATTAGTGGTAGCTGAGAGGAAGCTCTTATTTCTTTTATCAAGAAAAATCCTGTCATTATAGTGCTTCTATATAAAAAAAAAAAAAAAATCCCAGGGAGTTTATATATTTTCTGAGTTTGGGTTTTCCAGATCTTTCCAAATCATAAACCATGCTCATCTTAGTTTTAGAAACCCCTGATGGATACAGTTTTGATCCAGTGTTTTTAAGTAGTATGCATATCCTGCAGTTAACTATTATAAATTATTTCAATATTTTAAATATGTACCTGTAGATCAGATTAAATGAGACCAAAGAAGTGAAGGCATTTGATTCTTAGATGTTCAATAAATGCTAGTTAAATCTAAACAGGTAATTTTTGAAGTACCCATTATTTCTAACGTCATCTAATGTAATGTTATGCAGAAAAATTTGGCGTTGAAGGTAAACTTTAAATAACCCTGTACTTTCCATAGGGATACACAACTACAATCTTTTAATAAAAGCAATTCAAATGCTCAAAAAAAAAGTACCTTTAGCATTTGAATGCCTACTGTGTTGCTGCTCACACTCAGTGGATACAAAGACAGGATTTCTTAAACACCTCTCCCATGGGCTGGGATGGTGGGGAGGTACACTTAATTTATTAAAGTGAACACCTTAATAGATGCACACACAATATCAGTGGTAGAATAAATAAAAGCTTTACTTGGTGGGGGTTAAGAGTAGCTGCACTCATACACATTTCAGTTTTGGAATTCTTTTTTTAAAAAGAAAATAGTTGGACCACTTTTATGGGAGACATATAACAGGGCCAAGAGGGAGAAATCTGACAATCACTTTAGAAGGCTTTCTTTGGCAGGTGGTGGAAGTCCTTAGGAAAACCACTATTAAATAGCCTAAGCATGGCAAATACAATGTAGGACATGACAGAGTGCAGGAATGCAAAATAAAATAGGTCTGGGTTCCATTTCCAAAAATAAGGAATTCAAAATTTAGAGAATATCTGAGTGTTCTACATAAGACTTGATTTTTTAATTAAAGGGTATTTAATCTTACTGTATTAAATTGTCTTGTACTTACAGTGCAACAGCTGATGATATTCACATTTCCTAAAACTTTCTATTTAAATCCAAGTTAGTTAACATGTAATGTAATAATGGTTTCAGGAGTATATCTAGTGAATGATCAACTTACATATAATCCAGTGCTTATCCCAACAAGTGCCCTCCTTAATGCCCAGCACCCCTCCGGCAAAGCTGTTTGTTCTCTGTATTTAAGGGTCTCTTAAGGTTTGTCTCCCTGTTTTTGTCTTATTTTTTTTCTTCCCTTCCCCTATGTTCATCTGTTGTGTTTCTTAAATTCATGTATTTCTCTTTCTCTGACTTATTTCTCTTAGCATAATACATTCTAGTTCCGTCCACATTGTTGCAAATGGCAAGATTTCATTTTTTGATCATGGAGGAATATTCCATTTTGTGTGTGTGTGTGTTTACACACACACACACACACACACACTATACGTACACACACATACCCCACATCTTCTTTATCCAATCATCAGTCCGTATGGCCATTTGGATTCTTTCCATAATTTGGCTATTGTTGATAGTGCTGCTGTAAATATAAACATTGGGGTGCATGTGCCCAAGATTTGATTTTCATTTGTGGATTTTCTCTAGTTTCTTTTTTTTTTTTTCAACGTTTATTTTTTTATTTCTTTTTGGGACAGAGAGAGAGCATGAACGGGGGAGGGGCAGAGAGAGGGGGAGACACAGAATCAGAAACAGGCTCCAGGCTCTGAGCCATCAGCCCAGAGCCCGACGCGGGACTCGAACTCACGGACGGCGAGATCGTGACCTGGCTGAAGTCGGACACTTAACCGACTGCGCCACCCAGGCGCCCCTTTCTCTAGTTTCTTATTAGCATTTGGGTAAGTGGGTGTTTTTACAAAATGAGAAAAAAAAACATTAATTTGTAATCTTAATTTGAAGAGTAAAACATACTGGGGCACCTGGGTAGCTCAGTCAGTTGAGCTTCTGACTTTGGCTCAGGTCATGATCTCACAGTTTGTGAGTCCAGTTTGTGAGCTTGAGCCCCGCATCAGGCTCTGTGCTGACAGCTCAGAGCCTGGAGCCTGCTTCGCATTCTGTGTTTCCCTCTCTCTCTGCTGCTCCCCTGCTCACATGCTGTCTCTCTCTCAAAAATAAATAGAGATTTAAAAAAAATTTTTTTTTTAATAAAAAAGAAAGGAAAACATACGACCTGCAACTGGTCTTTCTCTTTTATTTTTCAGGTCCCTTTATGAATGATGGAAATAGAAGCAAATGGATAGTCTTAATCAGATAAGTGCTTTAATAGTCTAAACATATTTTTTGTAATCCCTAAACTAAAACTTGATTCTTTAAAACATTTTTGATTTCTCTTTTCAGGTGCCCATATCAAGAGAGTTTACAGTAAATAAGGTACTGGATCTTCTCTGAAAATAAATTTATGATCTTATCAAAGTAAAATGTACCAGCTTTTTCCCCCCACAAAGGCTAATCAATATTTCAATGGTGCAATTACAGAGTGCCTCCCACAGTTGAACCTAGATTATTAATTTTACATATACTATGTATGAAAGTCAACTGTCTCATAGCTGAAATAGGTATATCTGTTTATAGTTTTCCAGTTATCTATGTTACAGTATCTATAGTTTTTAGGTGGCTTCTCTCTTCAGAGTTAGAAATTTCTTTAGAACCAGTGTCTATTCTTTTAAAGGGCTTTTTTTAGCTATACTGATGTGAATTTTTTGTTTCAAGGAAGCTCTCTATGCCCATCGTGGGGCTTGAACTCCCCACCACCCCTGAGATCCAGAGTCACATGCTCTACCACCTGACCCCAGGTGCCCCTATACTGATGTGAATTCACAGCACAATAGAATAAAATGTAGCAGGTAGTTTTATTTTATATAAAAGCTGTGGTAATGATAAATAATCTTGACTTGTTTGTATAGTAGTTAGCTACTCATGTCTAATGATTTGCTATTTGAACTACAGAGATGTTCAAAGTCCAGCAGTATCCTGCTGCTAAACTCCAATGAGTACATGACCTTCTTAGGAAAGCATGACAGTTGAGAGTGATACTGGCATGAACCCAGTAAAGGGTGTGTAGACTTGGCATACTTGGCCTGAGTTACAAACTGTTTCTTCCTGCTTTGAGTACTGTTCAGGTTATGACAGTGGTTCTTACAGGCCTCAATACCGATTGTAGTCTAACTTCTTATTTAGCATAAATCTGGGTACTTTAGTTGAACTTTACAGATCAAGAAATTTTTGAAGTGACAGAATAGGGACTTTGTGGCTCCTTAAACCCACTCCTCACCGCAGTAAAAGGGAAAAAAAATTCACTTTTGAGCCTAAAACCTTTCTTATGTGTCACACTTCAGGGTTAACAGTGGTTGCTGGCCAACCGTCATTTTACTAAATGTAAAACAGAGTAGCGGCATCAAATAATACCTACCGAGTTGGTAGGGACTTACTTCACAAAAGCCCAGCGATAAATGATCTTTAGATTCTAGACGAGTGATGAAATGGAACTCTGAATGAATGATTCCCAAGTTTCTTTTTGTAGTATTTTCACTTAAGGAATTTTTTTCAGTAAGCCTAAACCAACATTTTAATGCCAAGTAAGTAAATATGTACTCGGTTACTCCCACCAATTTTGTTACACAGGTATCAAACTTCAGTCGTTACAAGACAAAAATTTAATGAAAACTGGTCAGTGGATATATAATAATCCACAGGGCTAAAGAGTTACACGGGACTGTATTAGAAATTTAAAATAGATGCTGAAGCAAATGTTACATATTATCATCATCTGATTCATCTTCTTCCTTCAGTGATTCCTGTTAAGAGAAAGATAGTGCTTAAAATCAATTTTTAATATTGTTGTAACAGCCTGAATCTAATTAAGGTTAAATAAGCACGTTGCTGAAAAATGAACACTTAGAATAACATATCCAACTAAAGAAAAGGATAATTAAGTTTATCTTGCTCTAACAGTGAACAGACTATATACTCTTGATAGAACACATGGAATGAAAGCATTAAATGTCCTGAAAAACCTTATGTTTTCACACGCAAAATTTTTGGAACCAGGGCAAACATATCCCCATTGAGGATAACCTAGAAAATTTTGGTCCTTGGTTCAGTTTGCCTCAAGTATTATTTAATAGAGATCAATCACGTTCCTTTATTATTCAACACTTAATTTCATACCTACAGACAGTTTTGACATGCTGCAGCTTACCTTAGCATACTTCTCTGCCTCTTCCCTTATGTCTTTTGGAACAATTTCATGTCTTCCTTTAGTTACTGCAAATTAAGCCATATAAATGAATTAGAAATGAGGCCTATGTTGTGATTTGCAATACAACGTATCCAATCCGTAGGTAAAATTCATCTACTGTTAAAGTTGTTTATGGTAAAGCAGCCCTATTCATTATAGTTTTTATCTTTTTATTTATTTTTTTAGTTTATTTTAGAAAGAGAGAGACAGAGTGCTAGCAGAGGAGGGGCGGAGAGAGAGGGAGACACAGAATCCGACACAGGCTCCAGGCCCTGAGCTGTCAGCACAGATTCCGATGCAGGACCCGAGCCAAAGTTGGCACTGAGCCACCCAGGCGCCCCATATTCATTATAGTTTTTAAAAACCCACTGGAAAGAGGCCAACTAACCAGCAGCAGAAGAGGAAATGAATAATTAGTGATACATTTGGACAACAGAACACTATACAGCAAGGCAAACGAACAAATACTGTACATAACACAAATAATTTACACAAATGGAATGTTGAAGAAAATAAATCCGGGATAAAAGAATAAATATATACTGTGTAATTCCATTTACAGAAAATTGAATGACAGGCAAAACTACCTATGGGAGAAGGCAGAGGACTATGAATTCAGAGAGGCCTAAAGGGTGATCTGGGGAGCTGGTCTATTTGTTGATCAGAGAGAGCACAGTGGTTACATGAATATGTACATGTACGTCATTACCAATTTTTAAAATTAGAAAAAGGCACCCAGTGGTAAATTAGGTTTAGTACAGATGACTTAGAGCAAATAAATGTACAAAAATAACTTACTTTCACCAACCCAGCTTAGCTCTAGTTCAAAAGCTTTATCCTTAACTTCATCATGTACTATGTAAATTCTAGAACACAAAAAAGTTTAAAATTAACATATGGTCCTATACAAACATGCACAGTCAGCACAAATTAGATCATCTGTCCCTAATATAACCTCAAAAGAAACATTTCCTCAAATGGGAAAAGGCCAATCGTTACTTTTGCCTTTTCAGGATATTTGTTTATTCCTTTCAGTAAGTGATTATTTTTTAAACTAACTTAGTAGTTTGCAGTTATTACTGGTCCCTCCAGTCTGAAGCTTCTTGGCAGGTATCTTTTTAAACCTCTTCTCCATTTTATAAGCACTATATGCCCCTTAACCTGGCCTCTAAACTATAACATAACAAATTACAACAAACAAGAAGGCACTGTCATACAACATATTAAAACTATCATATCAAAACTTTCTTTACATTTTCCAGCATCTTCACACAGTTTACTTTGGAGGATATTTTTAAAGCCTTGCTATAGTATGAGAAAGCATCTTAATTTTCTAGACTAAGTAAAAGATACATAGTGCTCCATTTTACTAAATGATAAGGGATGGCTTTCTTACACAGAACTAATTAGCATCTGCTGTTACACCTAAAAATAAAAAGGTGTGGTAAGGGCGGTTTTCCAGAAGCATTTCTCAGTGAAGGAATGGGAGTTTATCACATTTAAACTGTTGTACAGTTCAGTAAGGATTCTTTATTTCCCAGGCAGTTGTCAGGTAGTTCCCAGTGTTCCTCATGTTATTAACTGACAATCACAGAATGGGTTCTGCTTCTTAACTGGGAAGTGGAAGGGTCTCTTGGTAAAAGGGAGGAGGAAGGCAGGTGATGTGGCAGTTGGAATAGTGGTGACAGGACAAAATTATATAACACTTCCAATATTTTATTATAGCTATCAGTTTAGAAGAGATTAAGGATGTCATTTAAATATATAATAAAGCCTCTTAGATTTTTTTCCTTGCATGTATTATTAATTCTAAAACCTGAGGCACTTGCACAAACTGCTGACTAGACCATGTTGATGTAGTTCTCATGTGGAAAAGAAGAGCCGTGAATCCTCTGGAATATTATGTTTATTACTTTTAAGTCTAAAAAGCTGGCTGCGACTCTTAGCATTTCGTTGGATTTTCTGAAATACCACATGCTTATTATTACATTCTTTGACCTAGAAGAACTGTGAATTCTGAAGCATGCCACTCAGGACTTTGAGGTTACTTACTGCAGTCACATAAGCATTCTATTCTACGTACCTGTAATATGAACCACTTCAGGACTTCTTAAAGCTGTTTTTAAATGTATTGAAATACTGTTTTGTTTTGGTTTTTTTGAGACACAGAAAGCGCCCAAGTGGGTAAGGGGCAGAGGAACAGAGACTCTTAAGCAGGCTCCAGGCCCAGCATGGACCCCAAGCAAGGATCAATCTCACAACCCTGAGATCATGACCTGAGCTAAAATCAAGAGTCAGACGCCACCCAGGTGCACCTGCTCTCTTCATCTTCTTAAAACACTTTCATGATTAACGTATCTTGCCCAAAGAAACAGACTGTATAAATGAGCCAGCTTCGTGGTTCACGTGTAGAAATAATTTAGCTATAAAACCTAAAATAAAATTTGTAAGCTAAGATGCCTATTACTGGGACCTCTGAGATTTGAAAGGGTAGGAGCTATCAAATGAAGTGCTTACAGGTCCGCTGTATCCTCCTCCTTGTGAATTCTGTCACCTAATAAGAGTTTTATATTAAAGCTATTTTTCCCCATCCCATTTGCTGAATCACGAGGTCTGTTCCGTCACTTGAAATATGGATATTTCTCCGTAATGAGACGTTATTAGAATGTTACATTCACCTTAGGCACTAAATTATTTCCAAACAAAACAGACCTCTAGAATTAATGTATAAGGTAGGATCAAATGAAATACTTGTCAGTGGTAATAAAAATTTCAACTTACATTTTTGCAACTTCTTTAACGACATCACGGCAGGTCATTTCTTTCATCTATAGAAAATATCAAGTTATGAGTCGGGAGAACTTCCCACTTATATTCAGATTCTTTGCACAAATTTTGTCAGTACCCCTGGTTTTGAACTAGAGTTTCAGACATAAAACCAAAAACATAATACACTGAATTTAAGAATACCAGTCTTACTAGGAAATACAGACCTAATATGTGGGACTGACTATAAAAGCAACTGGCATGGGCTCTTAAAAAAATAAGCACTGGGAGAAGGTGAAGACTGAAATGTGAGCCTTAATTATCATGGTTTGAAAAAGTTACAAAATGAAACATTACTGAGGTGGTTTGACTACAGACTGAATACCTAATACTATCGTCTGTGTAATAATGTTATTCTACAGAGATGAATGCTGAAGCATTTAGGGATACAGCATCATGATGTCTGTAATTGTTTCAAACAGTTCAGGAAAAAAAAAAATGGGTAAAAATATTAGAAAATAACTTTTCGATCTAGATGGAGAGATTTGTTGCA